CGGAAGTGCCTTCGCCGCCATCTTGCTAAAGGAGGGGCCGATGGTGGGAGAAGGAGGAATTTGGGAGGGAATGCGTGTAGGAGGCTCGTGATGCGGCCGGGCGGAGGAGCGTGGGAGTGTAGCGCAACCTCGCGTGGCAGAAGATGCTGAAGACCTCGTCATGGTAAAGAGAACCCCGAGCTCGGGTTGGCCTCTGCCGCGGAGATCCAGTAACAAGGTGGCGCCTGCTGTGGGCCGGACATTGGATGGGAGAGCGAGCGCCCCCTCGGGCCGGGGTGCCGCCGGGCCTGAGCTCAGAGCCAGAGCCGCTGCCGAATTGAGGCGAGGGTTGGGAAGTGTAGGGCGCCCTACTGCCTTCTGGTGGAATTTGAGCCTTGACTCTGGCTCTGTTCCCCGGCGGAGGCCCCGTTTGGTGTAGGGCACAGCGTGTCAACAGTTCTTTGGACTCCCCGAGCTCTTGAGGTTAGTCCCAGTGTAGCCTACAGCTCGAGCCTTTGAGCAAAGCTCCAGGAGACCTCTCACTTTCCCTTCCAGTCTTTTCCCTGCCCTCCCATCCTTCCACTTCCGAGTTTTGGATGTCTTGCAAGGTGTCATGCTTCCTCCGAAACGAGTGGGTTGCACCGTGTGTTCAGACTTTGCGAAACCAAAGCAGTGAATCCACAGGGGAGGAATTTCAGACCAGTGGGGAGATCTATAGGGATAAGGGGAAGGAATATATCATAAAGTGGGAGTAAGTGGAGTTTCCACAGAATCAGAGGCCCTCTAGGCATTGGCCGTAAGGATCCAGGTGCAGCCAATTTAGCTTCATGACTTTGTGACTGAGCTTGGTGTGACTCAGAGCTCCAGGATCACAGGCCCTTGGGATGCTTTGATTCAGATCTGCCCACTGGAAGTAAAATCACTTCAGATGGTTGGAGAAATAAAACCTGATGAGAACTATATGGGATCCAATTAGAACTATTCGGATCCAATTATTTATATATACCTTATTATATATACCTTACAGAGTCGTAATGGAGGAGTGAATAGAAATTGAGAGCTGAAGGATGGGTAGTCAAATAGCTCTTAATCTTCTTACTTAGTCACAAGGGCCTTTATGAATCAGATGAAAATTTACTCCCCTGTCTTCCGGAAAAATGTCCACACACACAAATGGAATTTTGCACATAATCTCAAGAGGTTCATGAAGAACATCAGTAGTTTTCATAAGTCAGCATCTCTGAATCCCCAATCTAACCTAGTCCCCTTACCTTAAAGGATAAGGAAACAAAGCCAGAGAGGAACTTGTCCAGGGTCACAGAGTTTAGGAGAAGGGATTAAAACTCAAATTTTCTGATTCCCAATTAGTCTTTGTAATGTGCCACTTCTTGCAGGCTACTCAAACTGCATTGCTAACCCATATTGGGTGGCCCCCAAATACTTTCAATAGAGATTCTGACAAAGGAAACCTTTTCACATTGGTGGGGTTGAATGGGGCACAGCTAACAGGCAAAATTCTGCATATTAGTGGGAGTTCTTGAGTGTTTCTTTTAATATATCCCTTACTCTTCTTGCACTGTAGCCAGACCTTTGTGATTTCAGAATGTAAATCTTGGGCTCACTAAATTTTGGCGAGTAGAACAAATTCATCTTTTGCTTTTCTTCCCACTTGCTAAAGTATGTCTGTACCCTTTGTGCCTGCAAGTATCCTATGTAGAAGGGATTGATGGAGCAGATATTATTTCATTTCTGTAGGGAAAAACAAATCCAGGGAGAGTGAAGATTATACCACAAGTACATGGTAGAACCAAGAGCTAAGCCCTGGTTTCTTGACCCCCAGCTTCTACATATTTTTTACCAGATGATTCCGTGGTCTGCATACCTTGGTTCCTAACTACAGATGCAAAAAACTAGGCATGTAAATAGATAGGTAGATACAGGGGCCTACCCCAGACCAAATAAATCAGAATCTCTGAAAATGAGGCCAGGTTTGGAAACCACTGTTCCACCCTGTGTTGTCAGAAGCACACCTAAATCCAGGTGAGTTAACCACTTTTTCCATCTGCGGAGGCAGTTTTGTGTAATGGAGTGAGGTATTTTTTTGTTTGTTTGATTTTGAGTTTGAACTTTTGAGTCAGTTATACCTGTATTCAAATTTGATATTTGCCCACTTGCTAGTAACTATCTCCCTAGGGTTATATATGAGGATAAATAAAATAACACATGCAAAGATAAATATGTGTAGTAATAAAAGTTACTTTTCTCCTTTTTGCCTGGTATATCATCTCTGAACTCATAGGCCTGGGAAGCAGAAATTCCTGGGTTCTTCTCTATCTTGTGATTGGAGGTTGGGCAGAAGTTGTTTGAGTGCCCTGCAAGATGACCCCCACACTCTGCATTTTTCCAGAATGGTGAAGGAGGGAGCAAGAACCAGTTTCCCCAGTGTGTCCCTCCAGACCATACCTTGTGGCCTGCTTCATGGGATTTCAAGTACTTTCAAGGGAATTATCAAGTTGTACATGTGACTGGGAACTGGTGAATGCTCCTCTGTTTTTGCTTCAAGATTCCCCTTGCTTCAAGTAAAAGCCTCTGGAGGTTTAGGGGTCACAAATGTGACCTGGAAGATCCCCAAAGGTTCTAGGATCCCCTAGGAGCCAAAGAAACCTAGGAAAGGCCCTATGGCACTGGGAGGCTTTGCACCTAACACTTGTGGGCTGGTGGGACCATTCTGTGGGGGTGGGTCTGGCAAAGTGAGACATGTGACCCCAGCTGCTGATCATCTGACTACTTGCTCTGGTTTGGGAGAGAAGTCCCAGTGGTTGGCCTGCAGAAACTCTGTGGAGATAGTGCCAACAGGTTTTGGTCTTCTTCCGTTTTCCTCTCCTTTCCCTTTTCATGGTGGGGGAGGCTCCTGAACCCCTGTAACCTGAAGGGGTAGCTCCGGCAGTAAAGCACAGTCAGTGCTTCCTCCTTCTCTACCTGAGATAAAGTGAACTGACTCCCTGGCTTGGAGGGGACGGTGCCCTGACCTGTTTGTTGAGCAACTGGTGCTAGCCTGGGTCAAGGGGGCTCCAGATGGGGCTCGTGTGTGCTCGCGGGTCCGGGGCTACAGGGAGACTAGGGTGTCAGGAGAGGGAGCTGAGGACCAGGAGTAGATGAGAGAGGTGTTTTCCAGCTCCCAGAAGATAGGTCATCAAGCCCCAGACCACGTTACAGCCCATGTTCCTTGTAACCAGGTGTTGCGGTGACATCTCTGGCTATACTTCCGGGGGTGGGGAAAGGTGGAGGAGGAACTGGATGGATGGTGTAGGTGCTGGGACAGGATGGTTGCAATTTCCCAGGGGTTGGAGTCCCTGGTGTCTACTTTCCCAGAACAGCTGGGGCCTTGTGAAAATCAGGAAAGGAACACATGCAAGAGGAATGGAGAGCCTTGTGCTCGTGACTCAGAGATGCTCAGACAAGGGTGGTGGCCTTATGAGGCGATGATCTTGTGATAAGAGGGAACAAGAGCTAAAACTGGAGGCAGAACTTTGAGATGGGGGGGGTGTCAGAGGGGCTTTTCTGAAATGTGAAAGTGAATACATGGGCAGATTTTGCAACACCACGCAGCCTGCTGTCTTCTCAAGTCTCTGCTCTCCAACCCCGCCTGTTCCTCCGCCCCACCCTGTGCTTCCTCCCATCTCTCACCAAGCTCCTTCTCTGTTTCTGCTTTCCCTGTCCTTCTCCCATCCTGTTCCTCCACACCCTCTGTCCACTCTTTCCCTTTTCCCTCTCTTCCCTGGTGCCCTGTTCATCTGGTTCAATCCCTCTGGCTGCCTGCCCTGGCCCTCTGTCCTTCTGTCCTTTAATGTGGGGCCCATGGGAACTGGAGTTCACAGCAAAACAGGAAGAGCCTGGGAGCAGGAAACTGGGAGCAGGGCAGGGGGTGAACAACCAGCAGTAACCTCAGTTCCTCGCCTCCCACATCTGGACTGAAGCATCCCCAGGGTGCTCTGTCTCTCCCACTGCAGCCCACCAGCCCTAGCTTCTCCCATCTTAGTGCTTCACTGGTCTCCCTGACCTGAGAGGCAACCAGACGAGTATTCCCGGACTCGGACACAGGAGAAAGAGCGAGCACAGGGACTAGAGTGAGGACATCTGGATGCTGATCCCAGCTTGGTCACTAACTGTGTGTGGTCTTGGAAAGGGCCCTCCCATGAGCTCAGTGCTCTCTGTGAAATGGTGCTCCTCTTATTTACCCTCCCTCCTTCTTGGGGCTGCTTTAAGGACCAAAAGAGATAGTGAGGGGTTTGTATATGGAAACAAGCACTGGAAGGTTAACAGTGTACAGATTCGAGGTGATGGGAAGACCTATAGATGAAAGGATTGAGAGAGGAATGATAACTGCTACCATTTCTTCAACACTTACTATGTGCCACACATTGAGCTATGTAATATGTGGTTTCCTTCTCATGACAACCTTATGTGGCAAAAACCATTATTAATATCATCCCTATTTTAAAGGTAGGGAAACAGGTTCAGAGACATTATGTAACTCATTTAACCAAGATCATAGTTACTAAGAGGCAGAGGCAAAGCCAGGCCCAGAGCTCAGGTGCTAAATCAACGTGAGAGATTAAATGAACTAGAGTTAACAGGTGTAGAGGAGGATCATACTATTTTTCTTGTTCACCTATTCATTTAACAAACAGGAACATAGTACCTACTCTGTTGCCTGCTCTGTGCTAGGCCCTGTTCCGTGGGCTACAGGGGAGATAAAATCAATAAAACATGGTATCTCCCTTCAGGGATGGATCTCACGTTCCAGGGAACAGGGCAGGACAGCTATGGCTATAAGTTGTGGTAGATGCTGGATAGAACCTACCATCACTTCAGATGGAACGGTTCCCAGATGTGAGAACCTGCATACCTTCCCAGGTCCATCCTGGGCTGGCACCTGGGTCACCTGCCATCTCCACCCCCACCCCCATCCCAGGCCTGCCATTGCTCACATCTCGGTGGCCCCCTGCAGGGTACCGCCACTCAGAGACTCCCTGGAAGGATAAGCACTTGCCTCTCCATCCCTGGAGTTATACTAGTTTGGCTGAGGCCTGGGGCTAGTGGGGGGAGCTTTTTGGCCCCTTCCCAGAGGCAGGGGAGGAGGAGGGAGGCTGGGAAAGCAGGCTGGGGCTCAGTGTCGCAATTCCGGGCAGTGCCGGGACCTTTGCTCTACGAGGTGTCTATGGAGCGGAGGGAACACCGACTCTGGAGGCTGCCGGGATTGGAGTAGGGGTGCTGGGGAGGCAGTCCTGTAAGAGCAGCTAAGAGCCACCGGGGTGAGGAGAGGAAGGGGAGAGACGTGGAGCTGGGCTGGTTTACAGGGAAATGCGACTATCATGGTTGGGG